AGCCTGGTCATCACAATCCATTCTGGATAGGGGAGCAAAGCTATTTTCAGTGACATATGATCCCTGTCTAGATGGGAGTGTTCTTTCCCCACCATTTGTTTCATTCTTTCTTTGTAGTCCATCATAGAATCTCCCTTCTGATGCCTGGATGAATTTGATCTCTACATGAACATAGTCAATAGAACTACCATGGATATGATCCTCAAGATGGCTGATTCCTAGTACTGCCAAGAGTTCATCCTGCTCACTCCACAGAATGAGCTCTCTTCTACCAATTAGATTGATTAGAATATTCTTAATGGGATAGAGCACAGGCCCTGGATTTAGGTGGCCTCAGATACATAACACTTACTAGCTGTGTGACCCTGGGCAAGTCACTTAATCTCATTGCCTAAACAAAAAAAAAAAGAATATTCTTAATGCCAGACCCAGAAAGAGGCCAGAGAGCCATGCCTTTCCAGCCAGTCAACAAAGAAAAGGAAGAAGATTGAGGCTGATTTCTTATTAATGTGATTGTGCTACCTTCTCAGGATGGGCTGGTATGGATAGCGTATTGTCAAAATGTCTCCAGTGTCATGTGCGAAATTGCACTACTTTAAAGAATACCATTTGAGAATTAAAAGTTTTTCAGAAATGAAAAAAGAATGTTGTAGAATTTTTTCTGAAATTAAAGATGAGTTCACTGATCTCTAGTTGGGAACCTCTACTCTTTTCTCACTTCGGAGAGTCAGTCAGTCAATAAATATTTGTCATGTGCTATCATATACTCTCATGTAGTTCTTCATTATTTTCTCATTAGCTAGGTCATAGAACTGAATTAAATAAAATAGACAGAAATGCAAACAAACTTGTAGAAGTCTATTTTTAATTCACCTTCAAAAATCATTAAATTATGATGTTCTCACTGTTCGCATTTACCTTATTTTGGTAAAAACTTGATATCCTTCATTTATTCTGTATTTGTTACAACACATTCAACAACTGGCATTCAGATGCTATTAACCAGGAGGGCTAATATAGTCCTGTGAATCAAAATCCCCCCAGAGGTATAGACTGTTTAATTAATGAGATAGAAGGAAAGATATATACAAAATGACTGAAATGGGCATTTGCATGGAAAAAAAACCCTTCAGACTTCATGAATGTATTTAAAATATATGGTTTTTAGTCACTGTACAAATGTTTCTGATAATAATATAAAGAATTTTGTAATTCTTTTTTTTTTCCATTGACACTACCTGATTACAATCTAAAAGACAGGGTTTTCATTTGTATCTTCTCATTACAATCTGGTATAGAATAAAGCACTAAGCAAGAATTCAAAAGATGACTTATTTCCCTGCTAAGTCTGAGAGTCAAGGATTCTATAACTTTATGATTCCTAGTAGCCCTCAAGCAATTCATTGGTACTTATTTATATGGTATTCTCATTTTTCCTTTTTGGGAAAATGGATATGTCTCTCAAATTATGTGTGTTAATTTGGCTCTTCTGTTATGGTTAGTTCTGCAAATTCTCCTTAGAATATACCAAAAGAACATGTATTCTTTTAAGGTTAGGTCTTCTTCATTTTTCTTGTTGCATTTTCAACACTTAGTACTTAATAGGTGCTTAGTGAATGTTTATTTAAAGTAGGAACAGTAAATATCCTAGCTTTCAGTGGTCACTTACTGTTGATTGATTTTGAAGGAAGCATGAGTCGTAGAGACTATTTCGGGTCCAATCTGATCATATGGAAGTAAATATGGAGGTCCTAGATAGAACCATATCAGAATGCAAGCCACAAATCCAAACCCAAGAATAAATACTGCAGCATGCCATATTTCTCCAGTGGTTGGTGACTAAAAGAGTCAATGTTTTACCTCTTTTGCAGGTCCCACACTCCATTTTGGGAGTTGTTCCTTAATCAATGAACCTTCTCCAGACCAACCCATAGTTGTTTGAGGTAGGTTTGTATTTTCTTGAATTAGGCTGGAGGAATCAACTCCGTTACTTTATAAAGTAGCCTTTAATTAGAAACGGCCAAAATGATTGACATTCCACTCTGAATCAGTTTTGATTACAAAATCACAGTCATAATTATCAGCATCATTACTATCCTTATCTAACTACCATTCCTATAGAATCTCAAGATTTATCTCCTTATCACCCCCCCACTTTAAAAAACAAAAACTAGGAAACTGAATTGATAGAATTTAAACGATTAGCCCTGTTTCAGAGAGCTACTAAGTATACTTATTAACTGGATGACTCTTAATCACAAGCCTTTGGGCTTGCTTATTTTCATTGTGGCAGTTCATTCATTCCTATTAGGGATAAGGATGCCAAAGGAGAATGCTTTTTATTAAAGTTCTTTGTTGGTAATTCATCAAATTAATATTACATGAAGTTTAGTTCTTCTTATCTTATGGATCCAGTTATAATTGTACCATGTCTGACATTTATTTTCTTTTTTTGAGGTTTTAGACCTCGAAAAGTTTTTAGAAAGAACCAATTCATTCATTTTTAATTCTTATTTCTTTGTAACAACAAAGTATCAACTAACATTTGTATATCACTTTAAATATTGTCAGGTTTTCTACATTCACCAACTCATTGGAGCTATTTTAAAACCTTTGAAAATTTGTGGAGGAAGAGAGAAGTGCTTCTGAAGAGGAGATCAGCAAACACTTTGGTTTTGAAAAAAAATTAAGGTAGGGTCTCAAACTATAAGCATTTCAAAATGAAAGCAGTGGCCACCAAGAGTCAGCATGATTTCATTTTAAAAAATCTTATTAATATTAGTATTGATTAATAGTCATATTAATTGAGAGTATTAATAATGATAATAGCTAACATATACTTATTATGCACACACTTTACAATTATTATCTCATTTGATCTTCACAACAATTCTGGGAAACAAATGCCATTATTATCTCTATTTTGCAGATAAAGAAACTGAGACTAAAGTGACTTGCCCTGGTTTATACAACTAGTAATTGCCTGAGACTGGTTTTGAACTCAGATCTTCCTGAGGCCTTCTTCACTGCAGGCCTGTTGCTCAATCCACTGTACCATCTAGCTCACAAAAAAAGAAAATAAGTAATTCTAAGTATATGAAATTGAAAAGGTTTTGCATGAACAAAATCAGTTCATCAAAAGTAAGAAGAGAAGTGGTCCGTTGGGGGCAGCATATTTTCCCATATAAGGTCCTGATAATGAAGATATATAAGCAATTAAGATGAATCTATAAGACCAAGAACTTTTCTCCAAAGGGTAAAGGGTCAAAGGACATGAAAAATTAAAAAAAAAAAGAATTGGAAACTACTGACAATATCAAAGATAATACTTACTATCTTTGGCCAGGCATTCTGCTAAGTGCCACTGTTACAAAAAACTAAAACTGAAAACTGAAATAATTTGGTACCTGGCTTACAATTTTTCTCTTCTCCCTGACTCCTGTCCTTATGTTAGAGGACTTCAGCTTGCATACTGATTCTTCCTCAAATACTCTAACCACTTAGTTCCTCAACCTTTTCACTTCCCATGAGCTACACCTCCACCCCACCTCAGCCCCATACAAAAGTGGCCATAACCTTGGCCTTGTCATCACCCATAATTGTGCCACTTCCATATTCAAGAATTTTGAAATTCCCTTATCTAGTCATAATCTATTGACTTTTCACCTCTCCCTCTACCTTCTCTTATATAACCTTACTTTTCATCTGCACTGTGACTTCAATCCTTTGACCCTTCATCTCTCTTGCATTAACCACTCTCTCCTCTTCTTCCTATAGAGATGCCTTGGCCAACCAAATCAGTTCCACATTGTTCTCCTTGCTTTAATCCTTCTCATCCTTCATCACATCACCAATTATGCTCAGCTAAACTTCAGCCTTGGATCACTCCCGCCTTTTCTCTCCTTTTCCCTTGTATAGCTGAATGAAAGGGAAAAATCATGCAATCATTCTAACTGGGTCCACTACAAATTTATGTTAAATTACCTCAACAGGGCCCCTACTGCCCAACAATCCTACTATACTTTTTAATATCTCCCTTTGTACTGGCTCATTTCTTATACCTTTCAAACACGCCCATGGCTCCCCTATCCCAATAAAATCCTCAAGTAGTCCTTCTATCCCTGCTATTATCCAGTATTTCTTCTTCCCTTAGTAGCTAAACTCTTTGAAAATGGTGCCTACAATAGGTGCCTCCATTTTCTCTCCTCTCACTCTCTTCTTAATACCTTGCAATCTGGCTTTGGATCTTATCATTCCACCAAAACTGCTCTCTCTGAAGTTACAAATTAAATTAAAGACAAGTTCACTGATCTCTAATTAGGAACCTCTACTCTTCTCTCACTTTGGAGAGTCAGTCAGTCAACAAATATTTGTCATGTGCTCTCTGTGTTCTTGTTTAGTTCTTCACTATTTTCTTATTGCCATGAGTCCTTATGTCACAGATTGTCCTATTCTCCAAAGTCCAGTGTAAAATTTCTAGGGCCTTTGAAAACTCCACATTGATAGCACTCTTCCCTCTATTTTTCATAACAGAAAAACTCCAACTAAATCTCTGGAGAGAATGATGTATCACCAAAAACTTCTCTCAGTTATTGAATCATTGTAAAGATGCATAATAAATATAATATAAATACATAAATATATACACACCTATAAATATATTTATATATTTTCACATATATATATATTTATAGAGGGCAACTAGGTAGCACAATGGATACAATGCTGGGCTTGGAATCAGGAAGACTGATCTTCGTAAGTTGAAATCTGACCTCAGACATATACTAGCTGTGTGACCCCAACAATATGTGTAAATGTGTGTATATGTGTGTGTGCTTGTGTGTGTGTGTGTGTGTTTGTGTGTGAAACAAAAGGACAATATTTTCATGCATTCCCTACCACCAATCTTAGGGAAATGGTCATTTTCCTCCAGGGCACTAAATGATAAGTGTGGGAGGTAAGAGATGTGGTCAAATGTTGTTATGCCACAAGAATCAGGATTATCTCCTGTTTACTGCATTCCTGAATGCCCTCATTACGTCCTTATTCCTCAGGCTGTAGATGACAGGGTTAAGCATAGGGTTTATGACACCATAAAACACAGCAATTCGCTTGATCTGCTCCCTGGAGGACTTAGGTGTCATGTAGGCAATTATTAGGGTCCCATAAAAAAGGATGACCACAAGGAGATGGGAGCCACAGGTAGAGAATGCCTTGAGTCTTCCTGAGGCTGTCTTCATCCTGATGACAGTCACTACGATAAAGCCATAGGAGGCCAGAATCAAGGACACAGGTACAAGAAGAATCACTACACCCATGGAGAAAATGGCCATCTCTGCTTTATGAGTGTCTCCAGATGCCAGGGTCAAGAGAATTGGAGCATCACAAAAGAAATGAGCAATCTTATTGTCTCCTTGGTAGCGGAGGCACAGTGTGAATGTGGTATCAACTGAAGATGCAACAATGCCACAGATCCAACACCCCAATGCCAATTGGCCACATATCTTCCATGTCATGATAAGAGAATAATGCATGGGGTCACAGATTGCCAAGTACCGATCATAAGACATCACAGCTAACAGTGAACACTGTGTAGCTCCAGAAATGATGGAAAGAAAAATCTGAGCTCCACATCCAGTAAAGGAAATGACCTTCCTTCTAGTTAGCATGTGGACTACAGCTTGTGGAACTATGATAGTAGAGAGGACAAGGTCAGCCACAGATAAATTGCAAAGGAAAAAGTACATGGGTGTATGAAGCTGTGAGTCAGTTAGAACTAAGTAGATGAGGAGTAAGCTCCCAAGCATAGTGCCTAAGTAGACCCCCAAGAACAATACAATGAGTAGCATCTTAATCTGAGGGTCATCAGAAAGACCCAGAAGGAGAAATTCTGTGACCCAGGTACTGTTGTATTGGTTCATGTTGGAAGTTCCTGCTTCTTTTGAAAGGAGCCACGAGATATTTGATGTAACAATGTAACTTTAGCATCATAGAATCTTCTAGTTGAAAGGGACCTGAGATATCATCTGGTCCAACCTTCCACTGAACCATCAATATCCACCAGGACAATATTTCCAAAGATCACTTTCACTGATGTGATGTGTACCCTAAGAGAAGAAAAACATTTCACTGTTTGACACTCAGAGCATTTGAACAAATTCCCTTATTTAATAAGCCAATGTTGATGCATATCATGGTGTAGTAGAGAGGACATGACTGTTCTAAGTCTTATTAGCAGGCATAAGGCTGGTGTCAGACAATGGCAAAGTTTCAGGAAGGAGAGAAAAGCACCAGGGAGGGATCCATTGGAACAGCAAGGCAGAATCATCAAAATAATCTCTGCTTTTAGCTTCTTTATGTGTTTGGTAATTGGTCAAAAAGTCTTGTTGCAAAGGACACTAATGGGAGACTAATAGCTAATGACTACTGTACTTTTCCTCTCTTTGTTTATTTGGTACCTATCCACCTTCTTATACTTTAGGCTTTCTCTTCAACCTGCCCTCTCTCCTAACAAATTCTGCAATCCAGTGACACTGACCTTGATACTCTATCTTCCATGTCTGGGAGTTTTTCACTGCCTTCCCAAGTCCCAAATAACATCCCACATTTTACAACCACATTTCCTTATCCCCCTTAATTTTTGTATCTAGCTTCTGTTGATTATTTTAATTTATCCTTTATCTAGCTTGTCTGAACATAGTTATTTGCATGTTGTTTCTCCTTTTAGATTGTAATCTCCTTGAAATCAGGGGAAGACTTGTTAGTCAATAAACATTTATTAAGTGCCTGCCATATTCTAGACACCTTACTAAATTCTGTGGATACCAAGAAAGGCAAAAGACAGCCCCTGCCTTTGACGGGGTTACAACTCAACACAAGAGACAACATGAAAACAAATATTAACAAACAAGTTACATATAGAACAAATAGGAAATAATCAATAAGGGCAAAATCTTTGAATTAAGAGATTGGGAATGGCTCCCAGCAGAAGATGAGGTTTTATTGAGACTTGAAAGGAAGCCAGGGAAGCCAAGAAATAGAGTTGAGTAGGAAAAGCATTTCACATATCAAATAAAGCCAGTGAAAATGCCCAGTGTAGGGAGATGGAGCTTCTTATTTGAGGAACAATGAGGAGGTCAATGTCACTGATTTGAAGAGTATATGTGTGTAAGAAGACTGGAAAGGTAGGAAGGTCTAGGTTATGAAGGCCTTTGAATGTCAAACAGAGAATTTTATATTTAATCCTGGAGGTGATAGATAATCACTTAAATTTATTGAAGGGGGGCACATGTTTGGACCCTGAACTTTAGGAAAAGCTTTGTGCCTGATGCAGAATAATTGCTTAATAAATGCTTTTGGATTATGGACAAATCAACTCCAATATTACTCACTACCTGATGGCTTCTCTACAAGCACTATTTGGTAATGACTTTCCCCTTTACCTTCATACATGACTTGGTTTTACAGTAATGTAAAACTGTGTATTATGCTTTTCTGTTTTAAAATCTTACCTGAATAATGAGTAAAAGATCCTGAAGGGAAGAGACTCTGTTTTATCTACATTCTATTTTCCTCAACCTCTAGTATATTTTTCTTCTAAGAGTAAATACACATTTTACATTTGTCGAATGTATGAATCAGTGATCTAGTGCTTTGGTCTTAATTTAATGAAGATGTGAATCAATATTTCTGAGTCCATTACTTTTCTTTAGGGAAAGTCCATGGGAGAATTTGAGGATAGGTCCCCCAAAGTCTCCTACTTCTTCTGTGATCCTAGATAAACCAGGAGAATAATTAAAAGAAATTTGAGGAACGATGGCATAGATTATGTCATTAAATAATGATATAATTATTTGATTATATCACTCAGGACCTGTGGAGCTCCATCAATGCCTCTGGCTGCAGCAGTGTTACCACTGTCTGACTCTGCTTTGCTCTCCTTACTCACACTGCAGAGTCAGAGGAAAAAAAAAACAGTGGCCATGCTGGATGAATGTTAATTATTGTTTATGATTCTCCAAGGTTTGTTATCACCAAATATTGATATGTATTGTAGCCTTTGTTACTAGTAAATTGGAAGGTATTGCTCTGAATCAAGCTGTTTCAATGATAGAGAAAGGGATTCCCCTTTGGGGTAACTCTTAGTAGGTCTATATGGAGGCTACGTGGAGTCTATGAGAGTTTCTACTAAACTATCCTATGATACATTGTTAGGGGAAAGTGCACTGGATTCGGGGTCAGAAGGTAAAGTTTCGAATGCCCTTTCAGTACTTATTGGTTCATGTGATTTGGGACGTCACCTAATATCTCTTTACTCCTCACCTGAAATTTAGGAGAATGAGATTAACACTCTCTAAAGTCACTTCAAGAATTCCATCTGTCATCTGATTATCCTTTCTTGGGTATTTAACAGATTAACTACATCATTGAGTGTTTATGCTTTTTCTGTATGGTAATTTCTAGAGTGTAACTGAAATTTGGGTGACCTTCCAGGGGGAGGTCACATATTTAGGGCATGGTTGTATTTATGGTTTTCCTTGAATGGTTGTGAGATCAGAAAATATTTTTTGAAATAATGGATGGTATATGTATTCTTTCCTTTGTATTCTATTTTGGAACAAGAGTTGGTATTCATATTCTTTTATTATATATATATACACACATATATATATATATATGTATATACATATATACATATATATATATACATATATACATATATATATATACACATATGTATATACATATATATATGTATACTCTATTCAATAATTATCTTATTCATGGCATTCTCTACATTCTTTTTCATCTTTCTCTTTCTTTTCTCTCTTTCCAGCCTCTCCTATCATTTACTCTTTTTCACTCTTCTCTTCATTCCTCTCCTGTCCTCTTCGCTTGCCTTGTCTTCTTGTCCTTTTCTCCCTCCTCCCCTTTCTTTTGCTTTTCTTCTCTTCTTCCCTTCTTCTACTACCTCTTACTTTTACACTTCTAACTCTTTCTCTTCCTCCCCTTCTTTAGGCTCCTTGTCTTTTTCCTTTTCTTTACCTTCTCCTCTTCCATTTCCTCCACTTCCTTCTCCTCCTCTTCCCTACTGGCCTTTGGAGACTAACCAATCATAGCTTCAACACCTAATTTGAATGCTACCCTCTTGGACACTTCTTACAGATAATAGGAGTGTGCAGCAAAAAGGAGATGGATTACTTAATACCACTCTCTGGTGTTCAATCTTTCTGTATAAATCCAAGGGTATAATGGACTTGACAATGGGCCTTCAATATTTCCATATTCTTTTTTCCCCACTTGCTCTTATTAAACACCTGACATCTGCAGAGAATTTCCGAGTCAAATTTCTCTCTTCACCAAACTGTGAAAAAAGCAGTCATGAACTTAAAAGTAGAAGAACAATTGGCTTAGACAGGACAGTAGCACAAACAAGATTCAACCAAGAAAGGGAATGAAACTAAGACTCAGCAATCAGAGCACCTGAGAACAAAATGGACTTTTTAGCTCTAAGAGAAATTTTTCCAAATTCCAGGAAAAGTGAGGCAGAAGTGAGATTAAACTCCATGCTCTGATCATCTTTGATGTATTTTATCTAGCAATCCACTTGAGCCTTGGTTTCCTCTATTCTCTCCATTGTGAACATCTTACTTACCAGTTACGTATTTTCTTTCTAAAACATAGTACCTAGGAATGAACACAATAGTGCAGATATTACATAAAAGAAAAGATTAATGTGGGAATATGTATTTTCTTTACCTGGTTATGGCTTTTTTAAAATATAAAATTAAATGGCATTGGTTTCTTTGGCTTCCATGTGAAACTATTGACTTATATTGTGCTTCTCATGAGTAAAACTCCAATACTTTTTCCCCAATGTGTGTTATATAGCCATAGATACTTCCATAATGTATATAAAGATAATTTTAAAAAGTATTTTTGTATAAGATTTCTCATCTGTTAAATGTCATCTCATTATGGTGAATCTATAATTAGTTTGCCAAAATTTTCAAGAACCTACTATGATCAAACTACCAGGTTTTTTTCCCAGTCATTCTACCAGTACCAAGTCAATCTAATTTTATAATTATGTTGGCCACATCTCTCCAGTCTATTCAAAAGGATTTCACAAGAACCATTGCTAAATATTCTGTGGAAATCATGGTATGCATTCTGTATTCATTTAAGAATAGGACAAGAACTATATAACAGGAAATATCAGTCTCATTATCCATTCCAAAAACCAAATGAGGTTAATTTGGGATCTTCTCTACTTTAAAGAAGCTATGTTAACTTTCAGTGGCTATGTCTTTCTTTAATATTCACAAGCAAACCTATTTAAAAATATGCTTTAGAATATCATCTGGATTTAAAGGGAAGCTCACTGATTTCTAATTTGTGTACTCTCTTCTATTTTTTGAAAATCGAGACAATATTTCCCCTTCTTCCCTTCTAGCCCTTTCCCACCAGAATAGGTTGTAGAATTTAATCTAATAGGACAGTCAGAAATACAAGCAAACTAGCAGGCAAACTCCATTTTGAATTAACTTTCAAAAATCTTTAATCTCAATTAACCTTGGCATATATATTTCAAATATGTAAATTTGGACAAAAACAATAGAATGCACATTTTAAAAGACTGTTTCTATTCATATTTTTCTCATTGTATCTGCAGTATCTAACACAGGGCATTACTCATAGTAGGTTCTTCAATTAGTGTTCATTGATTGCAGAAGAGAGTGATAGTTCAGGATACTGACTCAAAATTGAGACGATTTGGAATAAGTGGCCCCACTGCCAGAAATGAGCCCTACATTAGGCTATGGATAGTTGAGACCATAATCTCCCCACCTGTAATGCCAATTTTAGGAGTCATGGAACCTTTTTCCTAAGATTTATGGAAATAAACACTTTTCCCTTGAATTTCATGGGTGCCTCCTTGTTAATTAATATTTTATGGATGCAGGTGAAATGAATTTTAGGACATTTCACCCACACTGCTATATACAGTTCAATGAGAGTGAATTGTTGAAGCTGGTGCCCAGTGAACATATTAAATCCAGATAATGAATGTAAA